GTAAAGTCCACCCTTACGTAAAATTAACATGCACTTAACTCACTGGGGCTCTGGGGAGAGCTCTTGTTCCTGGATGTTCCCCGTTTACCCACTGCCTCCTTCCCCGCAGCTTCACATGCCCAAGTAGTGAGGAATTTTTGCCTTACCTCTGCTGTCCTCAGGTCCCTGGTGTTATGATGGCTGATGCATGCTCAGATTCTGCCTTCATTGGCCAGGAGGGTGCTCAGTCCTGTTCACTGGGGCTGTGTGCGGGGAGCAAGTGGAGCTTCCAGCAGCAGAAGGAGGCTGAAGCCACACACTTAAATTATTTTTCTTGCTGTTCAGATCAAATACGTCTTGAATTTACTCTGCCTAAAGTTGTTTGAACTTTTCTTGTCCAAAGACCTTGTTTGCTTTCCCCTAGTAGTTTTACTTTGCCATAGTGGAGGATTTATTGTTGGAAATGCTTTGCTCGGGCTGCTCGAATTGGCAGGGATCATCTCTAATGTTCTGGGCACAGGCGAGAGGATGGGTGTGGTGGGTGCAAAGAGCCACATGCCTGTGTGACAGTATCTGATCCCCGAGGGGAATCGTTGTGGGCTTGTGGGCAGGGTCGCCTTGGAGCGCCCGGCAAGCCAAGTGGGATGTGGATGCTGCACATGGGCTGTTGCTGGTGGGGGAATAACTGCACCAGTGATGATCCTGGCTGGCACAGAACACCATGGGAAGACCCCAGGCTCCCGCAATGTGCCTGCCCCTGCCTGCTGAAGGCTTGGGATTTTGGAGGACAGCAAGAGGTAGTGGGTTTACACAGCCTTGGCAGCATCCATGGGGATGAGGCTTATCCCAGCACCAGTTCCTCTCCTCTCAGCTTGGTAAAAGGCTGGGTACACATTGAGGATAACAATCTCCATCCCTGAGCAAAATGAATGTTATGACCTCTGCGGGATTAGGGCTGTTTTCCTCAGAGAGAGAAAAAACATCCTGATTGTTTGGGCCTAAGCTTTAGCTAGATAGTCATTTTAGTACTACAATAGCAGGCAAAATTGTGGAGCTGGCTTGCTTATCCTGATTTCTGTTTTGCTGTTTATCCTGTTTATCTTCTCCTTGTCACCCTGAACTAGTTTGTCTTGTAAAGAACCAACCTACCATGCTTAAGAAGAAATCATCAGGAAGAAAACTTGCTGACTGAGTCTTCCCTTTGCCTGTGGCAGTTGAATAAGCTCATCATCTTATATAATATTAATATTTGTAAAAGCAGACCTACAGAGCTCATAAATCTTCCATAAAAGAGGGGCAATATCTATGTCTATTTTAAAATGAAGCAGGTAAGTAGGTTCCAGAACAAACTCATATTGATACAAAGGAGGTGGAGAGATGAAAGAAATGAAATTGCCATTTTAGTCAGAAAATTCTCTCTACATATGTAATACCAGAAGCCTCACTACTGTGGCAGCCAACACTTCACTCTGGGTGATCGCTTGATCCTGGAAAGATCCAGTGCCTGGCTGCGCCCTGGTATTCCATTTAAGTAGCTTTAGGAGCAAAAAAAAAAAAACTCCAAAATTGAAGCAGAGCTTATTTGCAGAGGGGAGGACTGCATTACCATTTTTCTGAACTTTGTCCTTCTCCAAATGGGAAAAATAAAAGTGAAAAAAATCTGTAGTTTTGGGTTCTGTTAAACATCTTTTTAAGGCAAGAAGCAGGCTTTTCCCCATTACAGATGGGAACCCAGATGAGAAAAAAAAAAATACAGTTTATTTTTAGCCAGTCAAGTGAGTAATCTGTCTCCAAACACACGTGTGGAGCTGCTCTGTGAAGGAACAACACCGTGGTGTTGCTAACAAGGTCCCTTTGCAAAGGCAAAATCTGCTTTGGAGCAGTTGGTTTAAGACTGTAAATCTTCTGTTGGGTATCACCCATGGTAGAGGATGGTAAAATGAAAAGGTGAAGAGGCAGGGAAACATGGAAAAATTTCATTTTTTTCATTTTTTTTCACTTTTCTTAGTACCACTGCTGTGAGACAGTTGCAATGGCTTTTTCCCTCTGCTGCGATCATCGTGCAAGTCCCACCATCTGGAATAGGGCAAGGGCCCCAGAAGGGCCTCCAGCCCCCGGACACTGTTTTGTCCATAAACTTCCCAGCTGTGGTTTGTAGGCAATGTGTGTGTGTGCTGCTGCTCTGTGCTGAGCAGCACCAGGGCTCTTGCTGGCAGCTGTGTTTTGCTGGTGGAGAGGCGGGGCAGATGGGTGGGTGGTTCTGGACCTTTTTGCCAGGCATGCAGCTCTTTCTTTTTGCCTTTCGGTTTATTTTTTTTTGCTGGACCTGAGCCAGTGCAGAGCCTTTCATTCTGTATTTCTCAGTGGTAGAGCTGGATCAGAAGATTAATTCTGGACTTGGCTCCCAGACCTACCTTTTGCTGATGGTGATTCCCATAAAAATTGAACCAGGATCATGTGAGCCCCAGACCAAGGTACCTACCCTGGGGCACAGTATGAGTCATGTAGCGCAGGCCCACTTGTTCCCATCTCCTCTCAGAGCCAGAAGATGGTTAGACATTGGCTTAACTTTCTGATGAAGCAATTTTTTTTTACTTTTGAAATAGTTCTTGAAGCTGAATATTCTCATGGGATTAGGTCGATTCATTTAGCACAGTACACTTTTAAGAAAAGTTTTTATCGTGCCAGCTGAGGCAAGAAATGTGTTCATAGAATTTTAACATTCAGCTGAAATCGCTATTTCATTTAAACGTTTCTTAATAAGAAATAAAAGATAATGAGAGCTGGCAATAAAAAAGTGCTCTTTTATTAAGGTGAAAATAAGAATGGGATGTGTTGAAGTTATCTCAAGGGAAAATATTTCCATATTCTTCTTTATAGAAGTATGTAAGTTTAGCCTTTGTCATTATCAAGGACAAGAGAATATCTGAGAAGGGGACATGCAGACAATTAGCCAGACAACTTTTGCTTCTTCTTTCTCATCTCCAAGCTAGCTTCGGTTTCTCTTGAAATTTTCTGCCACAGCAAAGGTGGAATGTTAAAGTTCAATGTTATGAATCAGCTTTGCTACAAGGAGAGAGGAAACCAGCCAGAACCCCTACATGGAAAAGAGCTGAATGAGAGCAATATCACAAAGGTCTATAAAACTAAGGAGGATCTGAGTAAAGCAGGATAAACTTGATGGTCTCGATGAAAAATCACATGAAGGGAGATCCATGCTTGCAAGGTAGATCAGGTGAAGGATTTGTGATCTCTGACCACTCATTCCATCTTTTACGTAGAGAGCCCCCAGTTTGCTTTGGGGTGTCCGTTTTTGTTTGTGCTTTCTCTGTTCTTTGGGCTTAGGAAGGAAAGGAGACCCATGCGACTTTTGTTGGCTATCCCGCTGCTGTTTCTTTCCCCAGTCTTTTGCTGCTGCCTTCATCCCCAGGAGCTCCCAAGGACAGCTGAGTTTTGTCTGTCTCTAGTGTGGCAGTGTCTCCACTGTCATCAGAGGAGAAATGACATTGTCTCCATGGCCAAGGAAGAAACCAAATTAAATTCCACCATCCTCAGCAGTTGATGGGCCAGCTGCTGACCTCAGTGTCACAGCCAATTTCTCATAAAGAGTCAAAAATTAATTGTATCTCTAAACTCTGTCACAAATGGCTTGGCTATGCAAAGGGACAAAATGTAGCAGAGTAGAAGACATGGCATGGCACTGGGCCTGGCCATCAGCCCTGTGGCAAGGAAGGGCTGTGACAATGCTCACACATTCCCAGCAAGGTGGTGACTAATGGAGGTGCATTAAGCAACAAGAAACGTCCACATAAGCTGTTTCCTGAGCGCACCATCTCACTGAAATAAGGCAACTGTGAAGAAGGGTGTGGAAGGAAGTGAATTGCTGGTGAGAAACACAGCACAGCAGGCCATGCTCCCCAATAGAGAGTCACACCAAGCCTGGGGAGATCTGTCATAAAGCTAAAGTAAGTGTGAATCTGTTTAACTGGATTTTGCAGAGATGGGTTAGGGGTACTGTGGCATTCAGGGTGGCAGCTGCAGGTGACACCAAACTATGAGACATTCAGAGTGCAGCAATAAGCAGCTATGGCTTTTGGCACTAATCTGGCTACCATAAATTTGTGGTAAATTGACTGTAGTGGAAGTCTGGATCAATATCAGTGTTCATGAGGCTAAACAGATCAATATTTGATACAGATAAAGAAAATAGAGGGCAGGTGTTTATGGCTCTCCACCAGCAAAACACAGCTGCCAGCAAGAGCCCTGTGTGCAGTATTATTATTCTTTGCTCATCCTTCTGCCGAGCGAATGGAGGGAGAGAGAAGGAAGGTTAAGGAAGGACTTAGAAATGTCTCGTAATTCACGAGACATTTAAAAAACAGTTGTAAGAAGGAGATTTATAGCATTTTCCCCATCAATTTTAGCCTGAAGAGAGAAAGAGAAAAATCTTCATAAAGATAGATTGTCCTTTGAGAGACAAATTCTGATTGAAATGTGGATTTGGGTTTAATGAGATGCCTGTGGCAAGGGGATCACTGGCACATGGCTGTGCTTGTCTAGGCTTTAGGAAAGAGGGACATTCAGGGGTTTCATAGTCCCTTCTGCTTTCTAGTGGTAGAGACCCACACCTGGCTGTAAATACTTTAGGGCAACTGGCACAAAGGTGATTAAACCAGGGAGTGTGGAAATGCTGGAGAGGAGGGCTCAGTTTTGTGTCAATGCTGAGGTCAGCTGCCTCAGGTCTTGGATGACTGTGTGGCACAAAGAAGGCTCAGAGACTTCATGACTGAGCTTATTTCCAAACAGAATCCTGGTGTTGTGAAGGTCAGAGTAAAACTGCCACCCTTACAGAATCATTTAAGTTGAGAAAAACCCTTGAGATCGAGTCCAACCATTAAGCTAATGCCCTCAAACCATCAGGGTGCACTGAAGGGAGAGTACCTTCAGGGTGTATTTTCCCTGTGTCTATATTGCCTTCCTTTCCTTTCCTTTTCTCATTTCCCCTTCACCTTGTTTCACAGGACTGGCTGACAAAATTTGGGTATCTGCCTCCTCCAGACCCTGTCACGGGGCAGCTGCAGACACAGGAGGAGCTCACCAAGGCCATCACTGCCATGCAGAGGTTCGGGGGGCTTGAGGCCACAGGAGTCCTAGGTCAGTGGCTCATGACCCCTCTTTCTTCTTGGTGTAGAGCGAGGCAGGGATGGCTTTTTGCGGGTCTGTGGGGCAAAAGAGACTTGGTATTGTGTTCTGGAGCAGCATCAGGAAAAGCGCCACAAAAAGATCACGTGGGTGGAGCATACGGCCCAGTTTGCAGCTGTAAGAGTAATTACATGGCTCAGGTGCTCTGTTGTCTTGTGTTTTCAAGAACCTGAGGCAAGCAATTATTTCAACAGACCCAGAGACCCTTGGGGTTCTTAGTGTGCTTAAAATAGTTCTTGGTGTGTTCCAACAAAAAGAATTAAAAAAGACTAGGGGATAAAAAGGGAGAAAGTTGTCCTGTTTGAAATCTTACTTGCAGCATCAAATGGAATTGAACAGAAATCCTGATTAAGACTCCCAATTTGTATACATTGATATTTTGGGTTCTTTGGTGCTGGGGCACAGGCAGGGAAGGGAGAAGGATGGTATTGCATTACCCCAACTCTGTTTGCTCTTGCCCAAAGTGCATAGAGCCAGGAGGCTCTTTGGGGCTCTCCTGCAATCTCACTGTGCCACAGCAGCTCCAGCTACTCCCCAGTCATGCCCAGCCAGCCAGGAGCCCATCACTTGCTCCAGCAGCTCCGTTGGCCAGCATGGGCAGGCAGTGGCATCTCTGTGGCAGGCACATCTGCCTGGGAGAGAGCAGTCCAAGGGCAGGCTGAAGCAGCCTGAGTTCAACAGCGTGGCGTGGGTCATTTCTCTGAATGCCTTCACTGAGGGAAGGAGAAAGCCAGCATTATCATGGCCTTCTGAAGGGTGCCTCTCTGTTCTCCTCCCCTCTGTTACCCTCCCACCACGGGGCCAGCGTACTTCTTCTGCTCAGGACACAATTAAGGAGAAGCAGCTAATTAGCAGGCGGGTCTCTATCCGTCCCAACACCCCAGCACCCCTCCACTGGTCCTCTGAAGCCACGGCTGCATCCCAACACTTCCTTTCTCTGGTCTTAATTGAGCACATGCAATAATTTCTCTTCCACTACATCAGAAGCTGTAGGAGACCTCAGAACAGGAATGGCCATTCAAATTGCATTTTCAGAGGAGGCATTTGAAACGGGCCGGGGTGGGAGGGATGGCTGCCCTGGGGAGGTCATAGCTGTGGTTTTGTTTATGAAAACAGAGTTTAAGAGGTAAAGTCAGCTGGGAAATGAGTGAATGAAACAACTTTTTTGCATTTCAGCTGGTGAGAACAGACACTTCAAGCTTTCATTCATTTAAAATAATTAATAGGAAGGAATATGGACATTCTTCAAATGCGCTCCTAGCTGAAGAGAGATGGAGTTTATTTACATGTGACTGTTTCTCCTTGACAGAGGAATACTGGGAAATTCATCAAGATAGAACAAAACAGAATATTTAAGAAATGTTTTAAAACATAATCAAAGCTGGCCACAGGTGGGCTTCCAGCAGTAATTGCTGTCCAGTGGCGGGAGCAGCAGTGGAACATAGGGGCCCAGTGTTCCTTGGGTGTCACCACAACATGCTGGGGCTAGCCCAGTGGGCTCCTGAGTATTGACTTTTGCTCTTCTGGCTCATTCTTAGCATTTCATTTCCCATGTCTTTTTTCCCCTGGGATTTCTTAACCCACCACTCCCATGATTTCTTGTTTTTTCTCTAACGCTAGATGAAGCCACCCTGGAGCTAATGAAGACCCCTCGCTGCTCTCTGCCCGACCTCACCACTGAAGAGACCAGGAGGAAGCGATTTGCCCAGACTGTGACCAAGTGGAGAAAAAGGAACTTGTCCTGGAGGTAGGAATTCATCAGTCCCTGCTGAAGTCTTGCAGCGAAAGACCAGTTCCACAGTCACCTTTGTTAAATGTGGCTTTGAGATGAGTTTTAGGGTGATGATTAAAACATGTCCCTCTCAGCTCCCAGGACCCCATAGACCATTTATTTTAACTCTTCTCCTGACAGTCTCAGCAGTGATTTCTTGGACACACTTGGCAGTGCCTGGGAATGGTGCAGATTTGGCTGTTGAATTAGCTGTCAGCTTTTTGCTGGGTTGCAATGGTTGTTAGAGCATCTTTTTTCTTGAGTTCATTAGGGCTCTGTGCTTTCTCAGGCAGCAGCCAAGTCTGGAGCTTCTTCTCTTGCCCCACCTGAGTCCAAGGGTAGGAGCATTTTCTGGGTAATAAAGTCACTTTTTTTCTCCTAATCCTTGATATATATATACGGGTGAGTATTTTTCCCTCAGTGTCAGGGAGGGACAGATGTGGGTCCCTCTGCACCTGTGACACACACAGAAGTTCAGGTCCAGCTTTCAGAAGTATGCTGCAGGTCAGGATTGGCAAGCAAAGGATCCCTGTCTCACCAAGATTTGTGCTTTTTGGGACTCATTTTTCCTCCCTCAATTCCCATGTGCTGCACTGATTTTTTCTCTAAGAATAGTGTGCAGCATGAGGTGCTTGTAATGTCCTGAAAATACATGTGGATCTTATGGGAAGTTCTCCTTACTAATAATAAGTTTCTCTTTGATCCTGGCATAGCCCCTAGAGATAGTCCTCTTCCCTCTGCAGTAGTAAATCTCAGCTTGGCTGTTACTGTTGACACATGTTGAAACTATGGTGTTAGAAGATATTTGGTTTAAGGTCCAGCAGATTCCTTTGAGACTTTATTTTGAGAAAAGATAAACAAAATTCAGCCTCAGTAAGAAACAATTTTGGTTCATAGATGGCTTCATGTCGTAAAGTGACCCATGTTATCAAACCTCAGCCTGTCTCCCTGTTGCCCAGCCCTGACTTGACGGAGAAAGAAGAATAGATTCCACATTTCAGAAGGGAGAAAATCCTTTAGAGGTAAAAAACAAACCTGCCCTGGCATTCTGGGAGCTGCCAGAGCCAGTGCAGGCGCATGGCTTGTGCACAGCCTGACCCCAGCAGCTCCTGTCAAACCTGAGTGACAAGTCATGTCAGGGCAGGTGTGGTGGCTGGGCAGCACATTTGCGGGACTGGCACTGCAGGTCCATCAGGAGTTTGGATGTGCTGACACAGTATCCTCGAGTCCAGGATGGAGACAAATGTGGAGGCGAAATGGGGTCTGGCTGTTCTGGTGGATGCAGCCCTGGGATGTCTCTCGGCCCCTCAGAAACTGATGCTGCAGCAAAAATTGCCATAAAAAGGGGTTTAGGTCTGAGACAATATTATATATAAGGCATAAAAAAAATCCATTTCCTGACAAAGTAATTTCTGCTTTTTATTCTTTGATCTTTTCCAAAATCTTGGCTTTTGTCCAAGAAAGGGCTGTATTTTACAGCCGTAGGTTGTAGCCAGCAGAACGCTAGAGCATTACAGAAATTCCAATGTAGTATTTACATCCAGCATTTGAGATTAAACTGGGTTTTTGGAAAGTGCCATGAAAATTGGCCAATAGAGACATAAAAGTTTTACTCACTTACCTTTCACACATCACTTCAAGATTTTAAAAGAGGAAAACAAAACTAAATGCTACCCTGACATGGATTTAAAAGTTGAAGAAAAACCTGAACAATTGAAAGGCTGAAAAAACAGGTGAGCAGAGCTGTAGGAAAGGATGGCCTCAAAATAAGCACGTGCACTGATTGAGAAGGCAGTTTTGGGCAAACAAAATTTTATAGATATACAGGTCATTCAGGTTTCTTCTTTTTACCTTAGAGTACAACTAACCTGTGGGACTGGAGGGCTCAGGGAGCAAAACAATGTAGGCTGCATTCTGCTCAGCTCACAGTACAGCCTAGTAGCACCCTGGTACATCCCACTGCAACATCAGAAATAGAAGGTTTTCTGTGCCTCAGCTCCTTGTAGAGTTTCCTGGATATTACATCACTGGATATTACTATATAATATCCTGGATATTACATTTTCTTTTTGCAGGATTGTTTTTGTTATCATTTTATTTTCCCTGCACTCTCCCCAGGTGCCAAGGCAGAGAGTGCCGTGCTGTGGATGCCCTCTGCCGGCATCAGTGCCGGAGCTGCCACAGTCACTTCCCCCTCATGTTTGCAGCCTTGTTTATCACTTGCAGATTTTGTTTTATTGATTCTGGTTAGTTTTGTTTTATTGCTTCTGCTTCCCAGAGAAGGGGAGTTCATAGCTGGCATCTCCATTTCTTCCCAGTGCTTGCTCTCTCCCCACAGTCCTGGGAAGTGCAGCAGCAGGGCCATGCCTCACCTTTGCATGCTTTGGGCTCCCTGGGGCAGGGGGAGCTGTGGAAGCTCAGCTTTTAAAATTTCCCCCTTTTTTTCTTTCAGTGCTGAACTGAACTGGCTTTCATCTGTCTCTAGTTAAGGAGTACTCCCTTGTGCCATCTCATCAGAGCTGCAGTGTTTGACACTGATGCTTAGGCCCTGGGCTGCCGGAGCAAGAGCAGACCCCATTGGCAGAGGAGCAGTGACCCCAGACAGTCAGGGCCCACCATTGCTGTGAGTGTCCTGAGCCATCCCCTGAGCCAAGGTGCCACTGCCTGAACCCAGGTGTGGATTTGCTCAGGCATGGAGGGGCGGCAGTCAAGAGGAAGAGTGTGGTCTCCAGTTCTGTGCTCCCATCCCCACAACAGTCCTGACCCTCCTGCTTTTCTCCTTTAATCAGTGGCATCCTGCCATGGGGACCTCCCATCCAAAGCCCAGACTGCTTTGTCCCCCATGTCTGGTGATGACAGGTGCCCAAGAGGGGCAGACTGTCACCTCTCAGCATCAAGCTGCCTTAGGTTATTGTGATGCCCCGTCACAGGCAACTGGGACCCTCATAGGAAAATCCCTGGGCAGCTGAAGCAGAGAGCAGGCCGGTGCATGGAAGCCACAGTGGCTCGGGGCTGACTGGCATTCTGTGTATAATAAAGGGCAGGAGAACAAAAAAACTGAGCATTTTTGGGTGATAGTGTAAGTGCTGGGAGAGGATTGATGGAGGGCTCAAACACCCACTGCTTTCCTCCTGCAGACAATGCAGTGCTGCAACACTGCCAGGGTAGCACTGGATCAGGGCTGCTGTACCACGGATGGCTCTGGGCAGCTGGAAAAGCACAGTTGCCAAGGCAGCAAGCATCTACCCTTTCAACTATCCCCTCTTCCTCTTCTTTCCAAGAAAAATCAGTGTGGGTTAAGGTGCAGCCCTTAGCCTGCCATGTTTGGTAGCTCTCTGCATTTATTTTATTTGTCTGTGGTTTCAGGGCTGGGAAAGTGAAAGAGTGCTTTCATTAACAAGGTATTGATTTCTCATCCATCACTGATGCTCTCCCACTTTTGTCTTTGGGAGGACAAAAACCAACAAGGAGCCCAGAAATCAAAATAGGTGTGGGTGCCCCTGAATGGCAAACGGAGGCAGATCAGTCCTCTCTAGTCTCTACTTATTAACCATCCTAGATGTTTGGGATGGGTCAAGCAAAGGAGGGGGACGCGTGAAGGACTGGCAGCACTGTGTGAGAATCAGCATTCATTTGTCTGCATGGCAGTGCTGCTGCCTGGCTGAGCTCTAAACACAGAGGAGAGATTTTCTCCTTGGCATCCAGTTGTGCCCCTCAGCACCACTCGGCAGCTACAAGTTGCAGGGTTGTGGAACTCGCAGCCCCATCTGCCACAGAGATGGACACTCCTCAGTATGTCTCAGAGTATGATTTGCAGAGGAATGTGACTGACCCTACAGCTCAGGGCAGTGTTGGTGGGGTGGCTGGAGAGACTGAGCAGCCTCAGTCCTCATCACCCTCCTGGCTGGCAGAGGCTGTCTGGGGCAGAGAACTTTCTCTCCAATTACTCACATCAGGCTTTTGCCCAAGATCTGAGCTCTGTAAGAGGAGTCTCAGAAGGGATTTACATCCCAGGAGTGCTTTTCCCTACTGGAAACCTAAGTATCATTTACTACCTCTACTACTACTGTTCCTCCTACTACTAATAATAATAATAAATTAAGGTAGGAAGAAGCTTATTTATCTGCACGCTTTTAGAAATGGGCCTCCTTTTCAGTGAAATTGGGTGATGCAAGGCAAACAAGCATCCTATCAGCATAATAGTCTTTTCCTAATCTCATTGAAAACAATTAGCAGAGCTCCAGCAATCAAACCAAATGAAATCAAATGAAAAACTCTGATGGGATTCTCTTGAAAAATGACAGTGATAATGAATAAAGGGTAAAGGACTTTTCACTTACACCTGCAGCATATTAATAAAATGTGGGTCAGCTCAGAGATGTAGGACTTTTTATAAGAAGTAAAATAGGTATTGATATTGTTTCTGCCTTAATCTAATGTTTCTGGAGTCAGGTCTTGGGATGAATATTAATAATATTTGTTTCTTTAGACAGGGTTTTTTATCCACCGTCCTTGTACAAGGGAGATCTGATTTATTATCCTCATTCTACATCTGGAAAGAAAAGGAAAAGAAAACAGATCATGTGGTGAGCATGGCTTGATGAGGAAAGAGCAGATAAGGTCCCCAAATGTGATTCTGTGCCTTAGGCACCATGATCCTGGAGAAAGGTCATAATTTCCAGGCTAAACATGGTGTTACACATATAATGACTTATTCAGTAGAAATTAAAGCAGCAAAGGGTTTACCTAAGTCCCAAGGAGTGTTACAAAAGATGAAGACAGCTAGTTAATGAATATCTGGAATGCAGGTGGCCTTTCTCTCTGTACTGTAGAGGATTACATCCAGACACAATCTCTTCCATAAATTAAAAATTGCCTGCAAATTGTCTTTTCTAATCCCATGCTCGTATTGTTTATACCTCTATGCTGTCTCCTTTACAAATGTGTTTTCTTTGAAGTCCTACAATCACCTGGTGTTACGTGCATGTAACTCATTTAGATGAGTCAATAAGGTTTTCTTTGCCAGCCAAGGGATAGCAAAGACAATGATAGGAATGATTTTTTGCTCATTTGGCTACAATGTGTTTTGCCTGATTCACCCACTCAATCCCACCGTCTCCAGGATGAGCTTCCCAAGTGCTTCAGAGGAACTGTTACTGAGATTTCTGCTTACTTTCATGAGTCCTTTTTTGCTCTATTTGAGATTTATCCCTGACGGGTTTTGCCCTGGCCTGAATGCGGAGCCTACTTTGGGCTGCCTGTCTCTTGAGGGTGTGGGATGTGTTCCCAACGTCAGCAAGCAAGTTGTTCCTACTCTCCTTTTCACACCCATGGTATCTCCCAGCACTCAGATCACTACTCGGGAAGAGCTTGAGTGGTGTGGCATCCCCTTCTGACGCTTTTAATTACCTCTTGAAATTTAGTCAGGTCATCACTGCCCATTGGTGATGAGAAGTGGTGCGGTACCAAGTAATGCTGTCACGGCTGTATTATGCAGGAGGGTAAAGTGATGTAATCGTAATTGTTGCTTCAGCCTTTAAAAATCAGTCAAACCATGAAAACACTCTGGCTGGCATGCTGGTACACAAAAAAAAGTATCCGTTATTACTGGGGTAGAGATGGCCATCAAAACAGGCTTTTGTCAATAATCAGTCAACAGTACATTTGCTAGGAAAGCATGTATATTTGTGTCAAAATTGTCAACGAAGGATTATCTGAATATATTCCTTTAGGAAGCCAAGGTGCCTTGTTGCATCTTTGTCTCTTCTTCTCCTCTATTAAATCAACAACATTAGGAATCCTATTTGAGAGTTGGATTATACAGGGAACGTTGACTTTTCTTCCATTCCAGCTGGCCCCAAAAACTCAAAAAGCTCTGAAGGCCTCACTGTGGCTCTGATGCACCAGGCACCTGCAGAGCTAGTTCTGGTGGCTCTCGGAGATCTTTTATGCTACTGACCCATCCTCTTTTTTGTCCTCTTTATTTCAGAGTTCGCACCTTCCCAAAAGAGTCCCACCTGGGCCATGACACTGTCCGAGCCCTGATGTACTATGCCCTGAAGGTCTGGAGTGACATTACTCCGCTGAATTTCCATGAAGTGGCAGGAAACAATGCTGACATCCAGATAGACTTCTCCAAGGCAGATCACAACGATGGCTATCCCTTCGACGGGCCTGGTGGGACAGTGGCACATGCTTTCTTCCCTGGAGACCATCACACAGCAGGGGACACTCATTTTGACGATGATGAATATTGGACCTTCCGATCATCAGGTAGGTAGGTCTGGGTGGGAGAGCTGCAGCCAAGCACAGGGGCTCACAATTTCCCTCTTCTGCTCTCGTGGCTGGAGTGGTTTAGCCTCTGCCAAACCTTCACCCCAGGCTTCAGGATCCCTGAAGTCTTCTTCTACTGATTCCCGTCTCAGCTTTGCTAGCAAAATCAACTAAGGCAGTGTTGAGGACACTCTTCTGTTCCTGAGCACTTGGGAAGCCTCAATGGCATCTCCATGATTCTCATTATCCTTCTGGCAATTGCAGAGCTCCCCATTGCCCAGCCTCATCACTTCTGAGACCTGGAAGGTTGCAGGTTGGGTATGTTGCTGCTGTAGCTTTTGGATGGGGACTGCATTCTCTGACTTTGCCATCTTTTGGTTGCCTCCAATGCCATATGTCCCAGTTTCCTATTTTGAAAGTATACTATTGACTGACCTACCTATAAAGGGCTCTGTGTTGTGCTGGAAAAAAGGCCTAGTTTTTTCCTGCCATCTCGTGTCTGTTACCTGACATCAGGATGGTTACAAGATGCAGTTCTTTTTTTTCTTCATCTCAGGTGGCCGAGTTTTAATAAGAGAGAGTGCAGAGTTTTAATAAGCAGAGGGAGTATCAGAAGCGAGTGTTCCTCAGCTGCAAAACCATCTGTGGGGATCAGGTCCCCAGCCTTCGTGTCAGGTGTGTTTTGACAGAATGTCTTCCCTGCAGCCACCAGCTGCTAATTTACTTGTCATGCCACCTCCTCTGTCAGCCTCCTCACGGGATCCTGCTGCCTCAGCTTAATGACTTGTTAGATTGTTTAAACCTAACCGTCTTCTCTGAAACAAGCTAGTACCTTCTTCCTGCCCTCCGGTTGACCTCCATCCATCCCCCTGAGTGTTCGTGGGCAGGAGTGTTCACCAGGGGTGCTGGAGGAGGTCTTGAGGTAAAGGTTAAAGGTCCAGACAGTCTGATCCTTCAGAATTACACCTGCTCTTTGTTTCATGCTGGTGTGCAGTCCCAACTGATGGCTCTTATCCCCCTTAGTAAGGGGGGGAAAAAAAGCAGCAGTTTTTATCTGCAGACATACAGGGCAGAGGCAAGTGCTGTGGTCAATAGCTTGCCACAGCAAATGTGTTAGTGATGGACTCAGTTTTGCAGCTAGTGGTTGGGAGTGCTCATTGTGAAACAAACTCCTGTGAAGGAGAGAGCTCAGAGCCAGGATTCCCGCAGGGAGTGCCCCTCGAAGCACCACAGAAGGATGAGGGCATGAGGCTGCCAGCGAAAAGCTGCCCTCTGTTTTGATGATCTTGGAGCTATCTGAGCTTCATCTTTTATTTATTTTATTCTCTCTACTGATTGAAAAGCAACAACTTGGTAGGTGATATAAAAATATCCCCAAGGTTGTCAGTCTGGCTTTAAAATGTCAGAGAGCATATGTCTTGTTCTCTCTTAGTGCCAGGGAGAACAGCACAGGTTTTAAAAATCTCTCCTGCTTACAGAAATTGTAATAGTCATGGAGGAAAAGGCAGAATTCATCAATAGCTATCTCCCTGCTTCAACACGCCGAGCCCGACAAGGAGCAGGAAGCACTGGGCAGGATCAGCCATGGCTACTTTTGTGCAAAAATGTAACCATCTCAAATGCCAAAGAAGCCGTCTGCCTCTCCAATCATTCTCAGGGAACATGACACTCTGCTACGCTTCGCAGGGATCTTTCCAACCTCGCTGCTTCTTTGTTACAGTACTTTACATCTTGATCTTTATAAGAACCACACTTAAAATCATTGCTGCCCTCTGGTATTGCTCTGCAGAATATTGCTGTGCAGAGAAGGGCAGAAATTGCACAGGCATGTGGTCCAACCTGTCCGGAGCTGGGTAGTGGGAATGCACCAAGCAGGCTCAGTCCCATACAGCTCCTGGGTGGAGCTTCTCCTATGCTTTGGTAGCAGTGCCGTATGTTTGGAAATGAGCATTAACCCCTTCCATGAGTATCTCAGGCTCTCGAGAGGATAGCATTGGTCTGTATGTGGGTGTGGTGTGAGGCACTGGGGGTTAGATTGCAAATTAGAAAATCTGGGGAAAGAGAATATGGTAGAGACAGCCTAGACCAAAGGAAGAAAGTCATCAAAGGACATACTGATGTTCGACAGTGTCTCCCTAATGTCCATTGTGGTGTGTGAGGATCAAAGTGTTTGCAAAAGGCAGCAGACAAAAGAGCTGCAACCCTTTCAGCACAGGGTGTGTAACAGAAGATGGTTAAGCCTCTAAAAACAAGCTGAACATAGTCACCTACTTGTGTCAGGGCAGCAGTGAGATGAGCAGGTTGGTGGCTGATAAGCAGATGAACAATCCTGTATTTGTGTGCATACAGGAAGGCTGAGGGACAGATTTGGCCAGGGCAGCAGCATGCAAGGCCAGGCAGGGAAAGCCCTGCAGAGCGCCGAGGGCAGGCAGGCACTGCTGGCACTCCCCGGCTCGTGGGCACATGGCTTGGCTCATTGTCAAGGATGTGACGAGCTCCTGGCTGGTGGCTGCAGAAATCTGATGTTCTGGGCAATGCAAAGTCTACCTGCGTCAGCAGCTGCAGCAGGCATGAGATGCAGGGAGTGACTGCTCTGGCCCAGCTTCTGCAGTGCCTCTGGTTGTGATATGAATGCTGTCTCAGCCCTTTGTCCAGCTTTTTCTCAGATGCCAACAGCGATCTGGGAAAAAGAGGGGTGATACCCAGGCTGGTGTAGGCTGAAGTCTGGCTTGCTTTCCATTTTCATATGATACGCTCCAGTCTCCAACTGGAAAAAAAATGTCTTTTTCAAACTTTACCTATTCCAAAGCTCTTGTTTCCAGTTTATCCACTATAAATGTACACTGTCTCTTATGACCCTTGCAGCTCACCCAAATCCCCCAATTACTATCAGCACTTAGTGACTTTTATTTCAATTTTATCCTCATCTCCAGAGACTCACGGGATGGACCTATTTGCTGTAGCTGTCCATGAGTTTGGCCATGCCATTGGCTTGACCCACATCTCTGCCATAGAGTCTATCATGAGACCCTACTACCAAGGTCCAGTGGGGGATCCTCTGAAGTACGACCTGCCTTACGAGGACAAAGTCCGGATCTGGCAACTCTATGGTAAGTTTGTGTCCCTCGTGTGGCCACAGCCTGTTCCTGCCATGGCAGGACACACTGGAATAGCTATTTTCTGGGCTAAGAGGAGCTGGCGGGGAGGATGGTGTTCCCCATTACTGCTTCTTTTCTACACAGGAGTCAGGGAATCGGTGTCCCCCACAGCCAAGCCTGAAGTAAGCAAAACAGACAACCATCCAATCCTGCCAGAGCTGCCAGAGAACCGCTCCACTGTTCCGTAAGTCAAATGTCTTCCTTTCCTGCAAAGGATGTGTGGAAGTGAAGTTCTGCTTCATCAGTATCTTGCCTGCTCACTCTGGCTTTGTATTTCTCTCTGGATCTCTGGATATTTTGCTGAAACTCATATTTTTTACTCATAAAAAATTGTCACCCTCACCCTTCAATACATTCAGTACATTTATCTTTGCTGGAATTTTAATCAAACTTCCTCAGCAGTATTCTGAATTACACAAGCATAACTTACCTGAATCACTCCACCTACCTAATGTACCTGAGGGAGTGAATATTGGAACAAGTGGACTGATAGCCTGACTCCAATGCAGGTTAGCATTGGCAAAGGGCTGCTTACACTGAGTGTCATCAAGCAACCAGCATGGCCTCATTAAGGGAAGTGCAGGATATAGCTCATTAATAAATGTTGACCAGGACAGCAGGACAGTTAAGAGAAGAAGGAGCACTGAACAAAAAGGCAGGAGGTGATGGTCATGCACATTTTTGCCAGACACCAAGAATGCCCCAAGTGAGAGAGGCAAAGATATGGAGCAGGTCACCTTCATGCTCCTCACGCTCCTTTTGTTTGAACATGCTGAATGCCACGTTTCTCTATGTGTAGCTTCTAAAGGCATTTGTACACCAGGCCCCTTATGGCCATGTTTGGACATAGAAATATGAGAGCCTTTCTCTCTGCTGTTGTGGGAAGCCAACATCTCACACCAGCAGCGGGAGCAGCAGGAAACTTGTTCATGCCATCCCCTTGTTCCTGCCTTGTATGCTGAGGCTGGATGGGGTTTGCCTCCACATCTGTCATTTTGTGGCCAAAGAGGGCAGTGAAGCTGGTGCTGGCAGCTCAGCACAATTATTCTATCAGCAGAACAGATTTATGCTTCCCTGTCACCCACAGCAGCTTTTCTGTGCATTTCCCATCATCCTCTCCTTGTTTCTCCATCAGTCATTTCTTAAGAGGGCTTTGCGGCTCTCTCAGTCCTTTATACTCTGTGCCTTCCCCACCCACCTTGTCAAAGCAGCTCAGTGTCTCAGCTACCACTTGCCAGGTGGCTTTCACCAGTTATCTCTCATTGGCTCCTCCACAACCTTCTGTTTAGGCTCAGCTGCTTTCTTCTTTGCAGCTCTGTCACCTCTCACTGGCACTTTGGAGCTCAGCCCTGGAGCAGCAGCATTGTGAGCTGCTGGAGTGAGAGGCTGCTTGGCTATTTTTCATGTCCTGCTGCGCTGGGGCAACTGGCCAAGCCACACTGTGCCACTGGGAGTGGGAAGCCAGCTCATCCCTCACCAGCTACACAAGCTGGTGGATGTAGTGCGTGTCCTTGCTCAACTCCCAGCGATGGTGTCGGGTGGCTCGGTGTTGTCAGCCCAAGCTGTCTTCAGGCTGAGGTTTACCTGAGCTCGATTGGAATTCTCCGTGCACGTAGCTGGGCTTCGGCATGAGGAGTGACAGATGGGCACAGCCTGTAGTCTTCTCCAGGAGCAGGGGTGACTCAGTCTATGGAATAGGCGGTATCAGGGAGACACAGCCCCTCGCTGCCTGCCTGGGCCCTGCTCACCTGGGCATCTCTCCACAGGCTCAGGCGGGATGTGCCCGACAGGTGTAACACGCACTTCGATGCAGTGGCCCAGATCCGGGGAGAGGCTTTCTTCTTCAAAGGTGAGTGCCAGGGGTCTGTGCCTATGTCACCCTGTGGTGGCTTTGGTGTGCCAGCACCAGAGGCAGCGCAGTGTGGGACGGGCTGGGTGGTGAGGATGAGCTGGCTGGGGTTTGTGGGCTACTCCATGCAGTTTTTACTCTGGTCTGTCACACTGGACTGCTCAGGTGAAGAACTAAAATCTGACAGTTGTACTACCAAAGTCAAAATCTAGGTCAAAACAAGGATGAGCAGAGCAAACACAACGCTCCATTGCTTTCTTCCTGGATGCTTCCAGCCTCCCTTTCCTCCCACGCTTCACCTTCCCTAATGCTGCCTGCCATGCATCTCTCAAAAACAGTGTGTACACAATTGGGGACCATCTGGTTTTGTACCATCAACCACTTGCTGGCAGTGTGCTCCCGAGGTGCCCAGCTTTTGACGAGGATCCATTGGTGCCTTCTCAGCTGAGCAAAGCCTGTGTAGGCTGGACTCTCTGGGCTTGCTTTCTCATCTTTGCAAGATGTAAAAATTTCCGTGGGCATTTCTTTGCATCTCTGACCATCATTTGGCCACCCCAAAGCCATCCACAGGGAAGCAGAAGTGTTTGTCCCAGGGATGAGCAGCAGCATCCCAGCATCTGGGTATCAGTTTGAGCCTTGGTTCACAGGCATGAACAGCAAAAGGGCTCCAGAGAATTTGGTGTTGCCTGTTCCCTGAGGGAAGCACAATATGAAGACTGTTCCACAACATTATTCGTTCAGATGCCAGCTCCAAAAAGCCACAGTGAAGAAGGGAAACTCAGAGACATGAACTGGTGTCAGGATAAATGGCAATCTGTCTCTCGGAGGGGAAAAATTGATGAAGTAAAGAGAAATCCAATTCAGTGTCTATTTTTGGATATATTTATTTCAGGCCAAAAAGTAGATGTAAAGAGCATAGGGTCAGTGGATGCCAGCTGCATGTCTGCCTCCAGACCCCAGCACTTTCCTTGCAGCCCCCATTGTTGCCCCCTGAACCATCCTGTGCATCAAGGAGGAGGGATGTCACCTCTGGGGCAGGATTTAAATGAGCTCTAGTGCTGAGCTTTGTCCCTCAATGGGCATTTTGTTCTGAGCTGGTCCTGCTGGTTCCCTAGATGGAAAGAAGCCACTGGGGCTGGAGCTCCCCAGACCGCACAGGCCTGCTGTTTTGGAGGTAACGGTGGGTTTTCTGCTCTTTGGAATCACCGCTTGCTTCAATGTAGGTGCCTCACTACAGACTCCTGAAGTTTTAAATACCTTTGGCCTCTGTGTGTGTGTGTGTGCGTGCGTGTGTGTGTGTGTGTGTGTGTGTGTGTGTGTGTGTGCAAGGTGGGTACAGCAGTCTTGCCAAAGGCAGCCAAAGTCTGGACAGCATGGAACACAGCTGGGATCAATATTACCTGTAACTAAAGAAAGCAATTGCTTCAACCCATCAACCACATCTTGGTGGAGCAGGACCTCACACTTTGCTTTCATTGTGTTCCGTTTGCCAGCTCAGAGGAGGGTTTAAATTGAGCTTTTAAAAAAAATACAGGGTTGGGATTTTGTTTCTTCAATTATTTCTGCATGCTAATGACAGCAGTTCTCCTGCTGGCTTTGAATCCCTGGGTCTGGCTTTGGCTGATGATTATCCACACAGGAGCAGCATTTTGGTGAGCAGGCTGGGCCATGGCAAAACATGAACCCAGGCAGACTGGGGCCATTACGTTCACAATTCCTTGCTACCTAAGTGCTTTATTTTCTTTTTTTTCCTGATAACTTACAAAAACCCAACCAAAGTAACCAACAGCTCAGGCTATTCCAGACTGGGGGTAGATTTAAGGTTTCCCTACTGCAGCTGCTCACCTGCTGAGCCCATCACTTGCAAATGGATGAAATGTCAAAAGTACTGAGGCTTCCCTTTGTGTGTCTGACAAGTCCAGGGCACTTCAAAGTTCAGATACTGATCTGCTGAAGAAGGAGTTTAGTTGAGCTGTATTTCTTTCTAAAAAAGTGAACATCTGACCTTGTCTAATTCCTTGCTAATTACAGATGCATAGATCATACTTAGTTAATTACGTATGTTTGCATTGATGTAAAATGGCCACCAAATTTGAATTCCTGGGGTTTTTTTATATTCTTAAAAAGAATCTGTAATTGTGTCAATTCCTACCATACTGACATATGAATGTATCATTCATTTATGATTTAGTAAGATAGAGCAAATAGGCAAACTGGAGCTGAAGAACAAGAATATGATAAAAATCCTTATAATTAGAATAAAACTCCCTCTCTGCAAATGTTAAAGTGCTAGAGTTTTGCATTCTGCATTGTTAGGCTACGATCCAGTTTCCATAAAATTTTAAAAGTTGGTGTCACAATCTTCTGGCTCTGGAGAAAGAACTGAGTGTGTGGGGAATACAAATCTGAAGATGCATCTTTGGTTTCTATTGCTTATCTCCCCGCAGAAATTCATGCAAGAACAGATGCAAATAATGCACAGTAATTTCTAACAGGCAATAACCAATACCAGACAGTTGAGAGTTGCCTCCTAAACATCTTGCTCTGGCTCACGTCAATCTGTGGAGCTCTCTGGAGAAAACACAGCATGAAATGTGCTGCGAAAAGGGCTGAGAATCCCAGAGCCAACACAGAGCTTGGTTTGGAGTTGCCCCTGCAAACCATTAAGACTCCTCGGGAAATCCCATATAAGGTGCTTTTAGCAGGAAAAAGTTAGTCATCCTTCACACAAAGGATAAATCTGTTCCCTTTTACATGATCAAAAATATTTCAGAAATCCCCAAAATACTCTTACCTGGTTGGGGCAGTGCTGCTGCAGGTGTTGAAGTGTGTCTGCAGGCACCACCAATACATTCATCCTGGAAGCTCCACAGGACTGCAGTCTCTGCTTAGTATCCTGCACCTCTAGATGCTACCAAAGTCCTTAACTGTGCCTCCTTCCCCACCTTAACCCTTCCAGATCTATTCAGATGGTTTCCTCCTCCTCCTTTGTTTTCTCACTCCCTTTCTTCATTACAAAACAACACTTCTGGTATTTCTGTTTCATTGTAACATCCTAGACATTTCCAAACTTGATAGCAGCTGGACATCCTGTGTTCAGGAAGCTGTGGCTGCTCCAGGAGAGGAGGAACAAGGATGTTTTTTTATACACTCTTGCTTAAGGCTGTTGGCACCTGGTCCAACCAGCTCACAGGAGGTCCTGTGCAGAAAGGGAGGGAAGAGATGAAAGGCTCCTCTATCCTTCCCTGGCTCAGCAGCATAGCCTCACGCTGTGGCCAGGAGTATAACAACTCCAGTGCAGTGTGCAGAGGATTATTTTAATCTGAAAAAGAAAAA